TCCCTTCTCGTCACTACCACCATGCCCGTGCCCTGGCCGAGGACCACCTCTTGCCTTGATTACTTCAGTAACCACCTCAATGGTCTCCTATCTTCTGTCCTCACATCAGCTTTCAGTCTGTTCTTCACACACCAGCCAGAACAAGCCTGTTATCATGTCAATCCTCTGCCCCAAACACTCCACGGCAGCCCATTTCGCTGGGAGTAAAAGCCAGCCCTTACTCTCATCTACAAGCCCAACCTCTCTGCCTCCATCTGCCTGCAATTCTGTTCCGGCTCCGCTGCCTCCTTGCTGTTCCTCAATCCCACAGCACTTAGAGCTTAGAGTGTATCCCCACTGCTCCGTCAGCTCCGTGAGGTCAGAGCTTGGTCAGCTTTGTCCACTGCTGTACCCCTGAGCCTAGAACAGTGTCCGGCACGTGAAAGGCACTTGAAAATATTTGTTAGGTGAATGGCCCAATTCTAGGAATTCAGAAATAAATAAATGAGATAGAGTCTTGGTCCTCCAGGGGTACAATTTAATCTGAGAGACAGATGTATATATACACATCCTATGATGCAGGATCTATAAAACATACAGAAAAAAAGGGCCATGAAGATACAAACATGGAAACTGATGGAGATACTACAAGTAATACAAGTTTTCTCTTGTATTACAGATCCCTGATAGAGATCTAATAAGTAACTAATAAATAATAGCTAATAACTAATAGCTAACAAATAACTGGGCAATTTTAAAAATTAAGTCTTAAGGAGGCATCAGATTCATACCCAAGGCAGTCAGATCTTTTGACATGTTAATTATCACACCATTTCTGCAAAGAAGTAGGGATCACTCACTCCTTCCCCTTTCCACAGCAGAAAAATCAAAGTGTACGGATTACATGCCTAGTTTAGAAGATCAGAAAACAGCTAGGCCAGGCTGCCCCCAGAGTTTCCAGGCCTGTCTGTAGTTCAGGGACTAGGTAAATATGCTTCCCGAGAATGTCCACTAGAAACACTCACCAAATACCCTGGATACTCACAAGACACTTGAACTTAACAGAATTAATGATTAATCTAAGGAAGAAAAGGAATGGCCTGTTACTTGGGTTATTCAATCAGAGACCAGATCTCACATGGGATGGGGGCTCCCACTACCACTAGTGGGCCCACCTACCCCAGAGCACCAGCACTCCAGAGTCTAATTCAGCTTCCTGCCTGTACCCCCCATCAGAGATTAGCGCTCTAACCAGCTCACCTTTCAAGAATGTGATAATTTGCCACAGGACCTTGATGAGATTACTATCTGGCTGGAAAAAAGGGCTTTGGAGACTATGTAGCATCTTGGAAAAGTATTTGTGTTAAAATATTAAGTGGTAAGAAAAAAAAAGTATGTACCAGAAAGACCACGTATGATCACCTGGGAAAAAGCATGGAAAGCAGCACACTGGCAGCAGTTAGGGTGATGTGTACTTGCTGGGTTGTCCTCTGTATTGTGACATTTTCTGTAGTGTTAAGCTCTCTTTTACGATTTTTTTAACCTGAAAATCTATCATTCAAACTAAAAGTTACAGTGAAATTGGCCAAAAGACCAAATCCATCTCAAAAGCCAGTAAGGGTAATAAGTAAGAATCCGCCCCATCACTGTCCCTGAAAGGGACTCTCTTACTGACCCACTGCCCGGACGTCTTGCAGAAAACCAGCCACAGATAAGTACAGACTCCATACTGAGCACCTGACAACAGACACGGGCTGCCCACTGCTTAGCAACACAGGACAACAGGGCACAAAACAAAGACCAACACCCCAACAGCCTTCTCAGTTGTCCTGGAGCAAGGAGGGAACGGATTGGCTTAATCTATTTTTGAAGAGACATTAATAATACAGTGACAAACTCAGGAGGGAAAAAAAAAAAGATTCCATCCATGACAGATAAAGCGGACAAGAACCACACACAGACTGGGACAAAAACAGAAAGGGCTACACTGTAACACCTAGTAGGACCAAAAAGGAGATATCTGGTGAATGAATGAATGAATGAACGAATGAATGACTCCTCTCCAGGGAAACTTTATAGCAGAGTTTCTATAAATTGAGTCCCCAATCTCCTCAACCCCTTTGATTTCCAATCCAAATTTCTATTGATCCCCAATTCCCCCCACTTCACCACAACAATTTCCCTGCCAAACTGTGCCTTTTCAGGGCTCTCTCCTCCTCCCACATAGAATTCTTTAAACTATATATCTTCTGGTGACATCTCCATTCATTCAGCCAGCATTTTAGCACCTTCACGGCACAGCTAGGCACAAGGCCTGTGAGTGGGCCGGAGGGCGGTAGTGCCCACCCTGCTTACTCTGCAGTGGGGAACACAGGCATCAAACAGGAATCGTAATAAGGCAGCATGAGGACTGGGCCAGCGGTTCAGTCTGTGGGCCGGAGGCAGACTCCTAGAAACAGCTTTAGCTGAGAACTAAAGTAAAGGGTTGTATCCCTTCATGGGAGGGAGGGAGGGGAAAGTATTCCCTGCAGGAGGCTCACACAACGCCCCTCCCCCTCCAAATGAGAAGGACTGGCCAGACCTCACCACCAAGAGCCTCACTTTTGTGACACTAATCCAGTGCCTGGCTATAAACAAATATTAGTTTAAAATAAACAATGTGCTCAGATAGGTATATACAGGGTGACACCTACAGAAATGTAGTACAGGTCAAAACCAATTTAAAAAAAGCTTCAGAACACCAAAAGCAGATTCACTCCAACTGTACACACACAGCCATGAACTCACTCTTGGAGACAGCTATGAGATCTGACCTGAGACCAGGGTCAGAAGGCTTTCCCACATGCTGCCTTTAGCCAGCGTCCCGAAACATGAAATCAGAAGCCTGGATGCACTCTCCTTAAAGGAGAATCTCAAACACAGGCTACCATGAATCACCAACACCACATAGAAAGCCAGTGACTTTAAAAGTAACAGTAAGCCACCCAAATATAGATGAGAAAGAAGGCAAGTGAGTAACAGACAAATGATCTTACAGGAAAGCATTTTAAACTTGTGACAGCCACAGTCGGCACATGTGGCTAAATATAAACATTCTATCACTGTTGCCACCAAGCCGACCTTCCTTAAGCAGCTTTCTCCAGCTTGGAAAAGCTATCGCAGACAGGTATTTTGATATTAGTGTCGTTTCCAGGGCTCTAAATGTTAGATGGGTGATCTGTGACTTCAAAAGTGGCCTGGGTGTCAGCTAATACTGATACAAATACAAAATCACCACCTCCCCCAAATCATCTAGGACATCAAAAGTTTCATAAGAAAATGGCAACTGAAAGGAGGAGTGGAAGGCCAACAAGCTTTCCGAAGCATCAATGTCTGACCCTTCAAGTCACCTATTCAGGTGGGTAATGAGCCTCCTTGAGGATAAAAAGCAGGCTTGATTGTTCCTGTGAACAGAATGAAAAAGGTTAATTGAGGTTTCTATTATGAAGAGCATTTTTTGGCCTAATATTGATACTTAGGATCAACGGTGGGTCATCTGTCACAGAAAACCTGGAATATTCAGGTAAAATGATGCGTCAGGTTAGAGATCCCCGGGTCCCTGCGTAATAAAGCAAATGTGGTCATCCAATGTCTCACAACCTTCATCAGGCAGGAGATAGGCACAGAGACCAAATCCAGTCGATCGTTCTCAAGAGGGACACTAGGTTTGTCCCAAGTACTAGCTCAGGTTAAAGAAACTCATCCCTAAGGTTTCTGCATCAACAGTGAGTGTGAGCGCACAAATCATCCAGTGCCGGTCGTTCCCAGCAAATACACAACTTCTGGTCGCGGGTGCCTCGGTTTCCCGGTTTGCTGGCTGCCTCTCCTCCAGAAATGCCCGCAAACCCTATGAGCAGTGGGCGCGTTCCAGCCCCAGCCCTCCCCGGCGGTCGGCACACACCGGAGGGGCCCCAAGAACACTTGCAGACTGAACGGAGGAATGAATGGGCTGCGAGGGGCTCACGAGGGCTCCAGGCCCCCACACCTCGATCCTCTCGGGCGAGCCTGGGCTCGGCGAAGCGCCCTCCACCTGCCCGCGCCGCACGCCCTGGGCCTCGGCCACCCCGGCCGGGCCCGCGGCGCCTGGCGTCCGCCGCACCAACAAACGCAGCTCGGGGCCCCCGAGCTCCCGGGCTGAGAAACCGACGGCGGGCCCCGCGCCGCCCGCCCCGGCCCGCACCTTCTCGCCCTCATCCGGGTTCTTGTCCGGGTGGTACTTGAGCGCCAGCTTGCGGTAGGCCTTCTTGATCTCCTCCGGGGAGGCGCTGGGCTTCACCCCCAGGATGTCATAGTACTGGGTCTCCTTCACCATCTTGTCTCTGCGGGGCGGGGCGGGCGAGGACGGTCAGCGCGCCCCAGACGCCGCCGCCGGGCTCCCTCCCGCCGCCAGCCCACGCCGGGCCGACCTCCGCGCCGGTGCCGCCGCACTCGAGCCGCCGGCTCCTCCGCGGCGGGTTTTATTCGGCGCCGGCGGAAGGTTCCGCAAGGAGACAGTGACGCCACAAAGGCCCAGAATCTTCGCGGAGGTTCCGGCGGCGCCTGGCGGCGGCGGGTCAACGCGCGGCCCCGGGTTCGCCGCCCGACCCCCGACGCCGGGGTCCGGCGCGACCCCGTCGGCTCACCCGCTCTCCTCGGGCCCCTGCTCCTCTGGCCGCCCGTCCGACTCCCCGGAACTCCAGCCCTGCCCGCCTCCCCGGGCCATGTTGGGGGCTTTGGAAGGCGGCTTCGGCGTGGAGGGCGCCCTCCGACGACCGTCCCGCCGTCCCGTGGCCGCCCCCTTGCCCTTCCGAGGATCCGTGGGGCCAGCTGGCTCGAGGATCGGGTGGCCTGGAGGGCAGCGTCGGTGGGAACTCTGCCCCGAGGAGTTGGACTGGGAGAGCTGCGTCCAACGGTCCCCACCCGGCCTCTCCCTGGGGGTGTGGCCGCCCTCTGTTGGGTCACCGCTGGGATGCGCCCTGAGGCCTGCCTTGGATTGTTGCATTTTTTAGGGGTTTGGAGAGGGTAGGGGTCCTCCACTGTAATGAGGCCTTGTTTCCCGGGACCCTACAGCTGCTGGCACTCCCCGGGGTGTCTTTAAGACTGGGGTGAACCTAAGACCTCTAGACATGTATAGTGGTGCTTTGCTGGCCCCTATTATGGGCCCACGGTTGGGACTCCTGAAGTCCCCCAAGGGTGGGCAGTGGTCCCTCTTTTCGAGGTGGGAAACCGCCTCCTCCCCTCCGCTCATCTTTATTGTGCCAATCACCAAGGCTGGACCAGGCTCGTGGGCCGAGTGTTGTGCACAGCGGGTGGGGCGAGTGGCTCTGGAGCCCGCGACTGTGCTGGATCACCCAGGACGCTGCCTGGGAGGGTTCAGTAACAGATCCCCGAGTTCCCTAGGTTGTGTCCAGCTACCTGTAAGTGCTCAGAAGCCATGATCCCTACCCGCTGCAGAAACATGGGCGTGGAGAACAGCATTATCACAGAACTGCAGGCCCTCTGCTCTAGCCCAGCCTTGGCGTCTGCTGCTGGAACAGTTTGTCAGAGAGGGGAGGCCGCTGCTTACCTCTCTGGGATCCTTTGGCCTTGTTTTGGATCCTGTGGTTGAGGTAGTCACTATCCCTCCTCCACGTGTTCAATGTGGGGTGGGAAAGGACGTTTAATGTCCAAGAGAAATTAAATTGCTCATTTCTGTTTTAGGAGATACTGCTTTTTTCCTTTCAATTATGCCTCTTTAGAGCTGTAACTTTTGGGCGGAGAACTCAGAGCTGGAGGTCAGGAAGCTTGGATTCCGTACCCAGATGTTATTAAGTATATGAGCTTTAGCCGCTCTGAACTTGGTTCCTCATCAGCGGGACATGGTCATTTGCCCGCCGTCCTCACAGGGCTCTTGCAAGGATTGAGTGGGATGATGACTGTGAAGGCTTCTGTCACAGTGGGTTTCAAAGCTGGCCGCTCAGAGATCACCAGGGAGCTTCTAAAAATCCCTGCGTCCAGGCCGCACCCCGGACCAGCTACATCAGAGCCTCTGGGGGCAGAGCCCAGGCATCTATTTTTGAAGCTCCCCAGGTGATTTCAGCGTGCAGCCAAAGCTGGGAAGCAATGTCCAGCACCACACTCTTCTCCAGAGTCAATACTCTGGACCAGTGAGATTGGCAGGATGGGGATATGTGAGTAGTCAGAGCCTAGAGGCGTAGAATGCAGCTATGAACTCTGGAATCAGTGAGACCTGCATTCAAACCCCAGCACTGCCACTTCAGGCTTGTGTGAACCTTGGGCAAATGACCCAGCCCTTCTGAAACTTAGTTTCCTCAGCCTTTTGATGGGGATGATACTGACAGTTTCTGCTTCCTGACCTTGGGAAGCACCCAGCATGGAGTCTCAACACATGTCGATGCTTTTTTTTTTTTTTAACTCTCACCTAGGCTAAAGAGGCTGACAAAGATTCTCTCCTTTATCAAACTCTAGCCAGACCCCTCTGAGCCCTCTTCTGGACTAGGCCTCAACCTTGGCCTATAAAGACTTGAACAAACATTAGCATACTTTCTGACAGCTTGAGGCCACATCCCTAAGATGACTCTAGCTGTCCCTTAAAATGCTTGCCTGAGAAAATTCAAGGCTGCCAAAAACTTTTCCTGTTTTTTTCAGCCAGCACCTGAGCATCGGGCATCTGTCTCCCAGGCTCTGTGGGAGGATAGAGTCCTAACTTCACTGTTTGCCAGCTAGCAGACAGCTGGCCTAACCACATTTGCACTGACCAAGTCTTTGTGATTCTCAATTCCCTGACTCCACTGAGCCCCACTGACCCCCCTCCTGACTCCCTCAGTCTTCCTTTAAAACACCCAGTTATTTCTGTACAAATTGAAGTTGGGTTCGGTTCACGCTGGACTCTTTTCCATGTTGCAATAGTGCGTTACTGATGGAAGCCTGTCCTTACCCACTGTATCTAGTGGTTTCCCTTGAACAAAGGCTTTGATGATCTAGTACGTTGTTTCCCAGAATTATACATGGGAGCATCTGAGGCTGTACACAGACATTTCTTACTTTATCAGTTATGTGTTTATTTTCATGGTTCCCTTTTCTTTATTGCAACCCTTATTGCAAGTGGCATTGGTTTTCCAGTCACAGTAAGCAATGTAAAGTTTCCTTTTTTATAGGTTAAGAAAGGAGTACATAAATAAGGTAAATAATGCTTATAAGTATATGATAATACAGGTGGTACAATGATAAAGCAACAATGGTGGTACTTGAATGACTGAAATCAGGGAGATACTGATCCAATTCCACCACCTCACTTTACAGCTGAGGAGACTTTTAGATGAAGAGGCAAAACTACAAGGCATAAGATGGGCATTGTCCCTGACTCCCCGTGGCAGACTCCCTCTGTGATCTGAGGGTAAGGAGAGTCTAAGCAAGAACAGAAATATCTTCTGCAAAGGTGGCCTGGGACAGGCTCTCCCTGGAGTCTACTGAAGAGGGAGAGCCACATCCGACGGGAGGGAAGTCAAGAAGGACCTTGTGGAGGAGGGGCAGATGCCATAGACCAGGAAGGGAGAACTGTGTTGAGAAGAGGTGAGCGGGAGGGAAGCCATGCTGAAGGGACAGCAGAATAAAGGCAGAGAGCACAGTGCTAGGATGGAGGAAGGCGCTGAATTGGGCAAGAAACCGACATGGGTACAGTGGAGCCCTGAATGTCTTAGGGAGGAGTTTCCTGCTCCTCTGATGGACCCTGGGAGCCTTTGAAGGTCTCAGAGCAGGAGCTACATTCTGGGAGGGATAATCAGCAGCTGTCATCAGGGGCTGGGTGGGTCCGTACCTGCTGGGAGAGGTCTGAGCTGGCCATGCAGATTAGAGGGGCCAGGTTGTTGACAGGGTGGCCCAGAGAGAGGATGTAGAGGGAGGAGGAAAGCCCTGAGGAGGAGCCCTGGTGACCATCTGCCTTAAGGAAGTGGGAGGAAGAAGAACAGCCATCAGAGAGGCAAGAGGAGAAGCAGGAATGTGGAGAGGAGCCAAACCATGAAAGGTCAGAGTGGGGAAAGGAGCAGAGGGGACAGTGCCCAGGTGGCAGAGAGGCCAGGAATAGAGGAGCTAGTGCTTTGAGGGGCGGTCACAGGGTTTCTCCAATGAGAGGATGCTAATTTGTTGGCCCCCAAAATAGCAATTGCTACTCCAGGCCATTGTTTCAGTATCACAAGGGACTTCTGCTTTCCTGCCTCTCACTGGCTGTGTGACTTTGAGCAAATTACTTTACTTCTCTCTGAGCCTCAATTTCCCCTTCTATAAAATGGGGATAAGAACACCAACTTCATGGGGTTATTATAAAGATTAGTGGAGACAGTGTGCATAAAGTGATTAACACATGCCAGCAGAGGACCAGTGTTCACAAGATGGAGTTTATTGATTTCATCACAACAGATAGTTGGTGCACACCTGCTGTGTGCCTGGCTTGGGGTTGGGCACCCACAGTACTGTGCGGGATTCAGGTAGCACCTGCCCTTGAGGGGCTCACAGGCTGGCTGTGCCCAAACACCTGAATCCAAGCACTCTGGGTATCCCCCAGCGGGCCTATGTTGTCAGCACTCGGGACCCATGGACTCGTATTGACATAGTTAACTATTGTCCCCTCGCTTTAGCAGACAAAGCCCAAGCTTCTGGCAATGTTTCTGTGGGTTAGGACATGGTCTCCAAGAGCCCACTTCCTCCTGAAGCTCAGCCCTCACCCAGAGCTGCTGCCACCCAAGGTCGGGGTACCTCTGTTTGGGGAGGAAGAACTAAGAAAGGGAGGGAGTGGCCTTCCTGGTGCATATTTGTACTTTACAGACAGCATTCTGGGGGCTTCTCATCAGGCCACCCATCTCATGAGGTCACACAGCCCAGAGAGGAGACATCCATTCATCCTTTGGGCATGTCAATAAAGCACCTTTTGTGTCCCAGCCCCTTGGGAGGTTTTAGAGCACACCAGACAACAGACAGGGGAACAGACTGCACTCTTGCCTGCACAGGGCTCACGTGGACCAACCAGGAAATAAACCTCTAGCTATGCACTGTGATGACAGCCACAAAGGAAAACTATTCTATGGAGTTCTGGGTGGTCAGGGAGTTGTGTGTGTGTGTGTGATTATGTTGAAACCTGGGGGTTGAGAAGGAGCCTGCCATGCAGGGCCAGCGTTAGAGAGTTGCAGGCACAGGCAACAGCATGCGTGAAGGCCCCAAGGCGTAGAAGACCTTGGCCTCTTCCAGGAACCAGAAAGGAACCAGTTTTTCTGGAACAGAGATGGAGTGGAGTGTGGACCATTAGGCAGAGCTGGAGTCTTTAGGGAGCCAAGAAGACCCGAAATGGCTTTAAGCAGTGCACTTAAAAAAATTGTAGTATATTTATGTTCCATAAATTCCATATATTCCATTTCTTTTTTTTACTTTATTTCAGCAAAATCACTATGTTGTTATAAACAGCAATGTTGCATACTTTGAGTTCTATTTTCAGTAATGCCAGATTATGAAACATTTCTTGAGTCATTGTAGCTCTTAGTCTTAATTTGGAGACACTTTGCTCTTCTGAGGCGTAGCAAAATTCTCAAAGCAATTCTTAGATTCAGAAATAAATGATGAATTTTATGCATCATGCCCACACATTGTAATGGGGTGACATAAGATAAATGAGTTGCTGTAGAAATATTACAAATATTTTAATTTCATTGTATAATTGTTATCAGTTTTTAAAAACAGCTTTGTTGAGATAATTGACAATGAATTGCACGTATTTAAAGTGTACCATTTGATAAGGTTTGATATATGCATATACGCTTGAAACCATCACCTTAATCAAGGTAGTGAACATATCCACCACTCCCCAAAGTGTCCTCATGAGTGAGTGTACATTTGAAAGATGACCCACCCAAGCTTGGAATGGCTGCAGCTGAGCTGGGGCCAGAAGCCCGTTCTACTGTCTCCTAGTTTGGTTCTTTCCAGGAAATAAACTCATTAGCACCCTTGGGTGTGATGCTGGTTCTGCCAGTTCCTTGCTGTGTGACCTTGGGCAAGTTGTTTAACTTCTTTGCCTCAATTTCTCATCTGTAAAATAATGCTTACTTTGTAGGGCTGTGAGGAGTATATAACATTATATATATGATTACACACACAAACATATATGAATTATACAATAAAAAAAGCCTTAGGACAGTGCTTGGCACAACATGAAATAAATGTTGGCCAATGTTGTTATTTGACGCAAAGAGCTCTGTAAATGCATCTGCCTAGAAGTATCACATTTGGAAATACAAAAAAGCCCAGTAAGATGGAAAGCTGAAACATCTTTCCCTTCTCCAGGGACATTGAGCTGAGACACCTTAATGACGTCACTGTTCTAGGATGCCCTGTGTATCTCGTAAATGCTACACTTATTTAATGGTTTCTTCACATCTTTCCAGGCTTTGGCTGGTCCTGTCTCAGCAGTAATGGTCCATGTTAAATTGTTCCTAGCAAATTACAGACTATTCCAGACCAGGAGGGAGGAGTTGGCTTCACCCTTATAAGGATACTTCATCTCATCCTCTCTCGCTCCTTCCCCACTACCGAAGGCTGTGGATATTCCTCAGAAGTCTCCCAGATCTGTCCCCTGCCTTAAGACAAGCCCTCATCATCCTTGCCTAGCCCCTCTAATCACTCTCTTTCTATGCCAGTTACTTAAGCAGAAGCCAGATTATGAAATTTTCAGAAGACCAGTTCTCTTCAAGTCACAGCCCCGCACTAAAACCTTTGATAAATCCCTGAATAGAATAATCAAATCCAAATTCTTTCCCTTGGCATTGAAGTTTCTCCATGGTCTGAACCCAGCTTATCCTTCTTGGCTGCAAGTCCCACTCAGAACTCTTATTTGCACTGTCAGAGTAGCGCAGTGCTGTTCACCAGCTCCGGAGGTTGGGAGAACAAGCCTGGAATCTGTTCAGGGGCAGAGAGACACCACAATGCTGTTATGATGATGGTGAAGTAACATTTAAAGAAACATATACATCTAAGTAGCTGGCTTTGAGTTGTTCCTAGAATGGGAACCATCTTTGGAAAAATACATTGATAAGCAGTTTAGAGAGGTGTTTGCAATTCTAAGGGCAGGGCCTTGAATGTTGATGGCTAAATTGCTTGGTGTGCCATGGGGGAGGGATTTTTGCTTTGAGGAAGGAGTGTGGAGGCAGATGAGAAGGGAGGAGGGAGAAGAGCTGGTGAGATGAAGAGCAGCTTGGATGAGGTGAGCTGTCAGCTCCTCCATCTCCTTACCTCCACCCGCCCCGTCTTCAGTGTGCTAAATGCACCAACATTTGGCAGCATGTGTGAGTGTGTGTGTGTTTGTGTGTGTGTATATGGCATAGGGTAGACCTGGAAGGAGGGGCTGAGCATATTCAGAGGAGGCCACAGGCTTCTCAGCCTCTGGAAAGGCGCAGAAATTGTGGGCAGAGCTCTGGAGTGCTACAGGCTGTCGAATTTGAGCCTGTTTTACCTTCCCTTGATGATTATCTGGTTCTGTTTATTATTGTTATTATTATTGTTGTAATTACAAAAAAAAAATATCCTCTACAAAGATACTCCCTCCTGGGAGAAGCACAGAAGAAAGAAGAGCAGAATCTTGCTGCAAAAAAAAGATCCTTTAGAAATGGTTGCTTGGCAGAAGTATATCTTTCCTTTCTGGTTAGCTGACAAGTGGAACAGGGCCCTCAAAACATCAGGCTCTAAACAAAGAAATAAAAATGACCAGTAAATTTAGAAGTTCAACCTCACTACTCATCCAAGAAATGCATATTAAAACAGCAGTGTGATACCATTTTTTGCAGGTGAGGACCAGGAAAGGCAGAGTCAACAAGGAAACTGCTGGTCGCTGTGCTGTGGAGAGAGTGCCACATCCCCTGCTGCAAGCCTCGCAAAAGGAGGCCAGTAGGGCCAGCAGGGGCCAGATGACGGGCACCCCGAAGGTGGGTCCAGTCCCACTCCCAGCATCCACAAAGAACAAATCCCTACACACCCAGAAGCCAGGGGTCAGACCTGGGGGTCAGACTCGGGGAAGGGACCACTGTAAGCCAAAAAGAGGCCAAACTTTTTAGTTTTTAGATTTTCATAGTACTTTAATAAAGTATAAATTACATAGTAATTTAGTAAAATGTAAAACACAGTAAAATGCACAAAACTTAAGTGGACTGCTAGGTGACTTTTTACATGTGTATACCCATGTGTCCATCACCCAGATCAAGACATGGAATATTTCCATCACCCCAGAACGTTTCCTCATTATTCTGAGTTCTATCTCCACAGGTTGAGTTTGCCTATTGTTGACCTCCATGTCCATGGGACCATACAGTATGTATTGTTTTGGTCTGGTTACTTTTGGTCATCATATGTTTTTGAGATTTATCTATGGCCGTGTGCATATGAGTAGTTCATTTGTATTGATGAGAAGTATTCTGTTGTATGAATAGAGCACAACTCATCCATTCTCCTGATGGACGTGTGCCCTTTCCTGTTTTAGTCTATCATAAATAAAGCTACTGTACAAATCTTTGTGTGACTATGTGGTTTTATTTCTCATCGGTGAATGCTCGGGAGTGGACTTACTGGGTCATGGAACAGGTATATGTTTAACTGCTAAAAATTTTCCATCGTGGTTGTACAATTGTATACTTCCACCGGCAGTTTGTGTGAGTTCCAGTTGCTCTGTATCTTCGTCAACACTAGGTTTTATCAGTCTTTTTAATTTCAGTCCTTACTGGTGCATGTGTACTCATATCTTGTGGTTTTAATTTGCATTTCCCTGAGAACCAACCATGCTGAGCACCTTTTTATGTACTTATTGTTTCAAATGCCAATTAGGATGTGTCAAGGACCCAAGAAATCATGGAGGGAGGTCCCCTAAAGACATAACACCTCCAAATTGGGGAATAGGAGGTGAAATGTACGTTTGTAGGCTTTTTCTTTTCTATGCCTCTTGCTGCTTTTTATGGGCTGTGGGTTGTTTTGGTGATGGAGGAGGACTGGGGAAGTTGTTCTTATGTCTTGGGGGGCTTGACACATAGAAAGCTTGGCAAGACTTTGCTGCTCTGAGTCATCTTGGACTCCACATGTCTTTTTTCCCTGAGGCTTCCAGGCAGTTCCATTTACCAGATCTGCTCTGACTTCCCTCCATTGCTGTACAAACCCTGGAATGGCTCTGGCCCCTGACGTAGGAAGAAGAGCCAAGTGGAGTAGGACTGACATAAACGACAGGGTCCCAGCCTGGTAACACAGTCCAGTGAAATACATAGCATAAGGGATTGTGTTGTTGACTGTCCACACCAATCCTCTTTCCCAATGTCCTTCAGAGAATTGTCTCTCCTTGGGGAGGGAATGGAGCGACCCCGGCAGAAGGAAAAGCCTGCCTCCCCCCATGTTGGGGTTATAGGGCCAGATTCAGCCTCTCCTGGCCCTGGTGAAGCCAGGGATGAGGGCGTTGCTTGGGCTTCATCAATCAGATGCTCTCTTCTAGCATGCTGGATCTCAAGAGAGTGAGCCTAGGAGCTAAGGAAGAATTCTTGGCAGCTGTGATGGAGGTGGAGCAGTGGTGGCCTGCCTGCCTGGCTACAAGGCAGTTGACATGTTTGTTACTTTCTGCTTCTTGGTTTCCTGGAACACCTGGAGGACTGCTCAGTCTAAAGGCCAGTGCCCCAGCATCCTGTCAATTCTACCAGTCCTCCAACAGTCTTCCTGTTAGGTGTGGCCATGTCACTGAATTCTGACTAATGGAAAGTGAAGGGATGATGTGGACAGCACTTCAGGCCCACAAAATCCTCCTGTATAATCCTTCACTCTCTCTTCTTCTGTCTGCTGGCTGCATGTTGACTGGTGACTGAGGGAGCCATGTGTTGAATGGTGGAGCCACCCACACTCACCAGGAACAGCTGTCTGGGGCTTTATGGAAGCAAGAAATAAATCTGTGCTGTATAAAGCTATTGCAATTTTGGGATTTTCCTAACACAGCAGCTAACTGCACTTTAACTAATATAGGTCGTCAGAGCCAGTTTCTGTTGCCTGCCACCAAAAACTGACTGAAAGAATATATTCGGTCATTATGTATCTAAATCTGAAGGATATACACAAAAATACCAACAATCGCTATCTCCAGAAGATAACGATTTTATTTTCTTAGTTTGCTTTTCTATATGTTTCAATTGTTTTTGTATGAACATATGTATATGTATGTTTGTGTGTATGTGTGTATATAATTAGAAAAAAGTCATTAGGAATAAGCAGATTTGGATTCTCTGAGAGTCAAAGTAGAGGAAACACTAGTCTCCACACAGGTCAGGAAATTCAGAGAACCCATTTGATTAGCAAAAGCAGTGATCCTAGGCCCCTAGAGTCATCTTCTCTGAGCTACACTGCCCCCACCCCAGCAGTTTCTCCAGCTGTCCCTCATACGTCAAGGTCCTTCCCCATTCTCCAGGACCCCTCCTCGGAGTCCTGTTTGTCGACAGCCCCTTATAGAGTGGGGCACAGAATGAAAGGTTAGACCTCCTGGTGCTTGCTGTTAGCACATCAACAAGGCTCTAGGAGGGCTACACAGGGGGGTTGAAGACGGGCACCCAGAACACTAGCTTGTGCTCTGCCCCCTACTCTGATCCTTCCTCCAGCCCCAGCCTCCCAGGGCCTCAAGGCAGGGGCAGGCCTGAGTTCCCCTGGGTAAGGCAAGGCCCTCAGGATGCAGTCTCTGCACCACCTGTAAAGGAGGGCTCTGCTCTCCAAGGGCTCCCTGGCCACCTCTATTTTCTTTGTTTAGTTTGGATCAGCAAATTGTCAGACTGATCAGATGTCTTCTTTGGCCTGGTCCAGCAGGAGACCTATCTAACTTAGGGACCCCACCAGGTATAGGGAAAGCAGCTGTGCCTACCAACAGCTGGGCACTTTTCACTTCTAATCTTCACACCTGCCCAGCAGAGTGGGTACAATTGCCTTTATTTACCAGTGAGGACACTGAAACTCAGAGAGGTGAAGTAGCTCAACCAAATTCACACACTACTAAGACGGGGACCCTGCCAGAACTCTAACCCAGACAGAAGGATCCCAAAACCCCCTGTGTTCTTTCCAGTCCACCACACACCTGCCTCTGCGGCCAAGGTCAGATAACTGGGCCGCTGGAAATGGAACCAAATCCTTGCATGACCACTCTAACAAGGAAATAGGAAAACATCTCCAGTTCCAACAAAGTCTTGGACTCTTCCTTTTTTTTTTTAATATATATATATGAGGAGTCAGGTTAGCTACAGTTCAAGCAGTTTGCTACGTTTCTGCAAAAATCATACAATCCGCATAAATGCCTTCCCAATTTTTGGATGAGGAAACTGGGACCCAAAAGGGGGCCACAGGTTGGGTCCCGTAGCATCTTAGTTCAGGCAGGTTAAGGCCGGAACCCGGGCCTTCTAACTCCCAGCCAATGTCCTCCATGTCATATAGCCACCAAAATACCCTAGTCACTGCATATGCTCATTCATAACTTTTTAAAAATTTTTTATTTATTTTTATTTTTATTTTTCCTTCTCCTCCCCAAAACTCCCCAGTACATAGTTGTATATTTTAGTTGTGGGTCCTTCTAGTTGTGGCATGAGGGACGCCGCCTCAGCGTGGCTTGATGAGCAGTGCTAGGTCTGTGCCCAGGATCCAAACTGGCAAAACCCTGGGCCACTGAAGCAGAGCACACGAACCCAACCACTCAGCCACAGGGCCAGCCCCTCATTCATAACTTTTAAAATAAACTTATCATTGCAAAATAATGTACACATATAAAATAGATCAGGAGTATACAGCTCAATGAATTATCACACAGTGAACACTCCTGTTTTACCCCTGTCCAGAATTAGAACATTACCAACACTCCGGAGGCCCCCTGTGCCACCTCCCAATCACTACACACTCCCCTGCAACTAGGGCAACCCCTATCCTGACTTCTCACATGTAGATTCATTTTGCCTCTTTATGAACATTTTATTTAAAAAGTTGTCTGACATAAATGAAGTCATGTAATAGGTATTCTTTTGTGTCAGGTTTCTTTTGCTCAATATTAAGTTGGTAAGAATCATCAGTGTTCCTGGGTTTAACAATAGTTCATTCATCCACATTGCTGTTCAGTGTTCCATCGTGTGAATATGCCACACTTTAGCTGTCAATCTACTGTTGTCAGGCGTTTGGGTTGTTTCCAGTTTGGGGCTGCCACGAGCATTCTAGAGGATGTTTTTTGGCACATGTATGTTTATACTTCTGCTGAATATACCCCTAGGAGTGGAATTGCTAGTGGATTGGGAGTGGCACTTCTTCGCCCCTTGTGCCTTCCCCTGACACACTCCCCCAGCCAGTGGAGGCTCCTACTTGGTGCTTTGAGAAATCCACTGTGGGCCACCCCCCTCCTTGTTGCCCATGAGACTCTCAGGTTGCACAGTGGAGAAAGGGCTTTGGGCAGCAGCAAGTACAGACTTGCTGCAGCCAAATGGCTGCCCCGGCTGGCTCTGGCACTTCTGCTGAGACGTGCTATCTTCAGAGCTGTTCAGATAACTGTCTTTTCAGTTAAGCAAAGGCCCTGCAGCTGCCAGTTGGGAACTGGTTCTGTTCAGGCTGTCAGTTAGTGATAATATGCTCATCTTGCACTGGTGTCTAACCCAACATGGGGGCTAGAGTGACCTCTGATGACACCGTAGCTCCGCCCAGGGCAGGGGCTGTGTCTCTCTCTTTTGCCACTATCTCCCTGTGGCTCAGCAACGTGCCTGGTATGCGGAAGCTACTCAGTAAATATTTGTGGGATTAAATCCAGCTTTCTAAAATGCCAATGGGACAATGTTGCTGAGAGTCTCAGTGCCCCATACTGTGCTCAGCCTAGAGCCATCTATTCATTTTTGTGGCTGCTGTAACAAATTGCCACAAAGTTAGTGGCTTAAAACAATGTACATTTATTCTCTTCCAGTTCTGGAGGCCAGAAATCTGAAATGACATTACAAAGCTATAGTAATCAAAGCAGTATGATATTGGCATAAAAACAGACATGTTGATCAATGGAACAGAATAGAGAACCCAGAAGTAAACCCATGTATATGTGATCAATTAATTTATAACAGAGGAGGCAAGAATATACCATGGGGAAAAGACAGTCTCTTCCATAAATGGTGTTGGGAAAACTGGACAGCCACATGCAAGAGAATTAAACTGGACCACTATCTTAACACCACACACAAAAATTAACTCGAAATGATTAAAGACTTGAGTGGAAGACTTGAAACTGTAAAAACTCCGAGAAGAAAACATAGGGGGTAAGCTCCTTGCCCTCGGTCTTGGAAATGAATTTATGGCTTTGACACCAAAAGAAAAGGCAACGAAAGCAAAAATGAACAAATGGGAGTCACACACACAGATGACGGCTCTGACAGGCGTCGCTGCTCGGGCTCCAAGCCTGGCTCTATCATCTGCTACTTGTGTGGCCTCAGGCAAGTTAATGTCTGTGTGTCAGTCTATAAAATATCGTCTACAAAATAATAATAAAAATTAAAAATAATAAGAAAGATGGTTTTATAAGGTTGTATGAAGATTAAGCCAGAGAATGTACATAAAACACTTGGGCACA